TACCACCAGAGTCTTCCAACAGCCAGCCCACAACCATTTAGCGTAGTCCCAGAGCGGCCGCTGCTGGAAGACTCGGCAGCAGATCTCCAGAGTTTGGAAGCTGGTTATGCTTAGAGTATGGTGGTAGCGGTAGCACGGTGGTGGCAGCGCCCTGGCCCTGCAGGGAGAGCTGGGCCAGGGCATGGTGAGGCTGGGAGGCATGTGAGCTGGGGGCAGAAAGGTGCTCGCACAACCTCTCTTTCCAGCTGTGCAGAGCGCCACACGGCTTAGCGCCTTTGGGATATTACTGGGTCGGTGAGTGGCTCTCTGCCCGGCTGGAAAGGGAGGTTGCCAGGCGGCTGCTCGTGAGAGCAGCTGCCCGGCAACCCCCTGCTCCATCTGGGCACAGCACCACTCACCAACCTAGCACTATCCCAAAAGAGGCAAACAATGTAAGCGCCTTTGCCCCCATCCCCCCCAGTTCCTGCCGCTTGGCGTCTTCGGGATATCGCTAGGTTGGTGAATGGTGCTCTGCCTGGCTGGAGGGGAGGGTTGTCCAGGGGGCTTATTATCAGGGAAGGGTGTATATTTTTGCCCACAGGAAAAATATAGCATGCCTTATTATCAGGACATGTCGTAGTTTTGGGCAACACAGTAGATTTGAAAGGTTGACAACTGTTCAAAGGATTTATACACAAATTATCCTGCTATCAGGAATTGAATTTATAACTCTATGGGTTTTTTTAATTGTTCATTTTTAAAAGGACTCCCACAAATCAACTGATTTGACATTCCACAGGAAATTTCCCATCACCTATCAATGCTACCACTACGAGCAGCACATTCAAATGTGGTGCAGACTACAGTACCGCAAGGCAACCTGCCCTTATGAATTATTGCATTCAGGAAGCCTTGTAGAGGCACATGGTGAAACATCTGCATAAAACATAGGTATTAGTGCTAAGTATTAAGCTCTCAAAACCTAAAGAACTCAACAGTAAGTTATTATGACTGTCCCTATTCCAAGAAATCCATAAAAACTATCTGCTTGTTCCTGCTTGGCCAAAGTAAAAAAAAAAAGTCCTTTCATTTTTCCCAATGATTGGGAAATAGAAACAATAAACCAGTGAAAATATTGGGGAAAATAGATCACTTGTTCAGATGAAACACCAAATTATATGTATTCATTAACAAAATGACACACCTAATTGGTACATTTCATTTACAATTCAAGCACAACAGTACAATATTATAGTTATTCTACATTCAGGATAATAAAACTGAATTTTTAAAAAAATACATGCTGATATCTCAACAGTGTCGTATTTATATAAAACAAGGATCTCACATTTGCTCAATTAGAGCAGTTTTATAAATTCATCCTCAGTTTAAATGTTTGAGTTCTCAATCTGCCTAGAAACATCATTTTCTTTTTCTTTCCCCCAGTTTTCTTTTAATGTGACAGATCAGGCAAAATCATTAAATTCTCCTACTTACTCTTGTATGGGTGCGGATGTGCATTTTTAATCCATCATTCTTGCTGAAAGCTTTGTCACAATAGGGACACTGATAAGGACGTTCCCCTGAAAACAGTACAATCAGTCTGTTAATACCTTATGGCATACATAGGACTTTTCAGATGATTGCCCAAATAGGCAGTGATGAAGCCCTAAATTGCTTAGCTACAGCGTTATTGTTATGTTTTCAAACTGTTACTTGGGACTTACGTTGCCTAAAGAAAAAGAACATCAAAGTAGAACAGCATGTGCATTTTCCAAGAGACAGATCTTTCTGTGGGCCACTGTTCACACAAAGAAGGTCTTGTTAACAGTGGACTGCCAAATGCATGGGAAAGATCCAGCTGACTGGCACTATTTACATATGCATCTTGTGTTGCATAACTGCACCGTATTGAAATGGTTTTCATGGGACAGCTTTTGTATTGCGGGAGACCAGAGATGGAAGAATCCCAAGCTTTGAAGAAACTATCCAGGTAATCATAAACAGCACTAAATATGTTCAGTTGCCCACAATTGTGTTTGTTGCAATAGCCCAATGCAGCTACTTCCCTGGAAAAATAAAACAAAAGGACAACAATTCTGTCTTAACAAATAATTACTCCCTATTCTAGTAACAAGTTTAAATGTCTTTTATTGTTCTCAATTTGTAGGGTTTTTTACACATGCTTTTGCTTTTTGATATGCAGTGTTTGCTGGGATGGTATATGGACACCCATTAAAAATATATAGATCTATATATAGATCTTAAGTAAACCTAAATGTTTTTGGTGAACTTACAGTGCATTACTAATGATCCGCTTAATGAAAATGCAGATTATATGCAAGAAACATAACTAATGAAAAAGTCATGAAACAATGAAGAAGATGATATTCCATCTCGGGCTAGCAGTATTGTGTCAAAGATTGGACAAATAAGACAAAGGTTACAATAACTAAACTACTTATTTGGGGGATGAAAGTATTATGGGAAGGCCAGTATCTGAAGATAATGTATCTTGAAAACAGTAAAAAAACTATTAGCCCTACTATTCCTTTTCCCCAAAGTGTGTACTATTTTAATAATGCTGATTTTAACTGACTTCTGGTATAAATATATTGCTCTGCTTAACATTATAAATCATAATAATTAATTCAACCATAAGTCAGACGTTTCTCCAGAATTGTACCCTATCTCCTAACATCTTCACAGCTGCTTTTATTCTGAGAATGCTGCTGGTCATCTACATCTTACTCATTCACTAAAGGAGGTAAACCGGTAAAGCATTTTATAAACTCTATTTTAATTATTTTTATTAGAAATAATTAGGCAGGTTATAAATTTGATTTTTTTCTTTATGTGTTGAATAATTGTTAAGTAATTGAAAGTAACTATTATAAATTGAGTCCTATGGTTCTGTGTGGTGAATGAGATTAGTAAATCAGAGATTGGGATAAGAGAGAGTGAATTACAGCCTACAAAGATGAATGAATACATGCAAACAAACAAACAAGCAAACACACCTCTAGACGGTGTGATCCAATGAGTAATTGGTCTTAATAAATTAAGTTGGGCTGATGTGAAGATGTGTTTCATGCCAGAAGATCTATCGCAACTTCTGCTCAGGTTCTGCAGCGTAATGATGCAAAGATAGGAACAGGTATTTGGGTCATTTATCCAGTGGAAAATTAAGTCAACTCAAATATTATGCGAGTAGCAACATCTATGAAGAATTTTTAGCCACTATGCCACAAGCACAAGGGTGTTTATGTCAGTGTTTCTTAAAGTGTAGTTTTAGGAGCCCTGGAATCTCCCAAGGATCTCTTAGTGATCTCCAAATCAAAACAATTTACTAGCTTAGGTTGAAAAACAATATAGTAATTAAAACCCATCAAACAATCATGAGGAGCAGTATTGGTAGTGAATGTGTCAATTTGAATTTTTAATGTGGTAAATATCTGTAAATAGCCAATACAAGCAAAGGTCTTTTGGTGCAAGTTAGTATATTCTAGTATACTCTTGTCCAGCCCACAGACCAAATGTGACATTCAAAAGCTAGTAATGCAGTTCCATAATACAATAAAAATATAAATAAACAAAAGGATGTTTGCTATTAACTATATATAACAATTATATATGTGCCCCAACATAATTCCTCTTCATTCAAACCTCCTCAGAAAAGCCAACTGTAGAAAACCATTGTCTAGAGTCTAACATGATAGCTAACATTCTATTTTCCTCTTTCAAACCAGTTCAGAACTACATGTATTCAAGATATGCCAAGATACATACTGTGTACTTCTGGCTGCTCAGTTTAATATTATTGCAATGATCTTGGTGTCCCTACATAATTTAATTACTTCAACAAATTGTATCCATGTGTCTCATTCAACTTAAAAAAATAAAATCAACTGAATTCTACTACTACTGAATAACATCTAATTTTTTTCTTTATAAATAAATGGAGTTAGTCTTACTATATCAAAGCTACAGAAATGTAGATGACCACAAGATGGGAACAAAAAACTTGTGATGAAATGATGGAATATTTGCATTGTAGTAAAATAAGGGATTATATAAAGAGATGTGGAGTTAAGAAGAGACAGGTTGAAGAGGAAGTCCATAAAAAGAAGGAAAGCCTATCTTTCTAAACAATATATTGTCACTTATAAATAAGTATAGACCTTTTTTGATGTATTTGTAACAGAAACAACTTTTCATATTGTTCACGAGATATGATGGTTAATAAATGTTCCAACTGATTAAAAACAACTGGTTCTCTAAGTAAATACATTAGAATTTAATACTCCTTCTCCTGCCAGCCATCTAAAATGCTATGCTGTAAAGGAAAGAACTAATCAAGAGAGAAAACAATTACAAAACAGAAGCAATAAGATTTTAAATTCTATCTGTTTCTCTCCAAAATAAATTTACAATAGAAGAAATTATTCTATCTCTGGTCAAATAAAGCTGTGTTTGCTGCAGTTTCTACGATAAAAAAAAACTAAAAAAAATAACACTGGAAAAAGACTGTTACTTTGAAAAGAACTATCAGACTTCTCCACAATTCACATTACAGCATATAGAGGTGAAGAAGGTCTCCGCCTGACATTCTTTGACCTCTAGAATTCCTCTGTAAGTTCTTACCCAAGAAACATTATTAAATAAATGAGAGAACAACCAGGCTAATTTTAAAAAAAAATACTTTAAATAAGAACAAATTTAGGGTTTTTTTCCTGGTGCTACTGAGTTGAAGGTATATAACTCCTAACACATACTCCATTCAGATTTTGAACTAAAAAACAAGTTGTTCTCCTGATTTAATGTTATAAAGCATTTAATTCATGCAGCAGTGACAGATGGGGCATACAGAAAAAGGGGGGGGGGGGCGTGGTACAACTACAGTACTGCATGCTAACCAGTATTGAGTTACTGCCAGTAGTTCTATCCTGACCAGCTGAAGGCT